TTTTGTGTCCATGTAATCCATTGAAGAACATTGGTTAAATTTAAAAAATTCAGTAAGTCCACATAAATGTTCTTGAAAACTCTGTGGACTGGGTAAGTTTTGGAAATTTGCTCTTCAGTTCTGCTGATTTTTAAGGCCAGACCACGTTGTCCATAATCGAACGGCAGTGCTCACGTTGCATTTCTAGTTTGGCATGTGCTGTACTGGGGCTGCCTCATTGACATGTGATGTCATGTACCGATTTGGGAGTAGACTGTCTTGTAAGCGGTCCTACCCATTTTTCAGTAGTTCCCCTGGAGACGTCTCCCCCTGCAGACCACAGCGTTGAGTGCTGTGATTTGTGTCATTGATTTTAAGTCAGGCCAAGGAATCTCACCGGGATTTTAATCCCGTGATGGAGATGGCGATCCATACCGTGTTTCTGCTGCCTCTCCTTCGGTGATCACTAATGGTCATTAGCATGCAGGGAAACAAATGCCCGCGGAGTGAGCTTTCGATCGGGGGCCGGAGGAGGCGGCGGCCCGGCTGGGCGTAGCTCCGCCCTCATCCATTCCGTCTTGTTTGTCAGCTGCTCCCATGTGACGTGGCAGGAGCACCAGTTACTCTTCTCTCTTCCTGGATGTACTGGAGTGCAAGATGCATCTGTGCTCAGATGAAAATTAATTTGCCACCGTGCTTTCATTACTCTAGCCTATGTATCAAAATTTGCATTTGGAATATTTCAGCACTATGGCTCTAGTTGTGGAAGTTTCCGAAGTGCATAGTCTGGAATTTAACTTTCGGTACGGTTCCCCCCCCCCCCCCCCCCCCCCCCACCCCAAATAAGTTTACTGAATGCTGCCCTAAAAGCAAAACACAATGAAACTCAGAAAAAGCCCTTGAGAGTTTTTTTGACTTCACCCTCATGTGAACTAGGTAGGTAAATGATAGTGTACTTATTCCAAATCTGACCATAGTTCGGTTAGAATATTTTGTTATGTGATAAAACTGAACCGAAGAGATCCAATTTCGGTCAACTCAGTTTTGACTAAATATGCAGCCGCAGCTTTTTCAGGTACCTATTCCACTCCTGTTATCCAGGACAGGGAGGCTGTCGGCCTGCATCCCAGCCAGGCAGCACTGGGTACCAGACGTGGGACCCCCCCGGGTGCCTGTAACCAATCCTTAACATTCAATATATCGCTGAAAAAATAATAATTTAAATATTCATGAAAGTTCCATTCATATACGGTAAATTCAGTGTGGTTCAGTTTTGATTTCCCACTGCACATGTAGTGCATATTATCCACCTTTATTATCCCCACTATTTAATGATTAAGTGCGTTTGTAGGATGATTGGAGGTCGCCAGGGGTATGTGTCCGTCTGCAGTGTTCATTGGCGTCTGAATGTATGTTAAATACATCAAGGGCCTTAATGCTTGAACTCATTAATAACTAGATTAACTGCGAGTAATTGAGAAATTCATTATCATATGTGGTAAGTGTTGGTGGTAGGGGTGATAGTTTATTTTTGTTTATTTTGATATGAATTTGAATAATTATGATTGACGTGAAATTCTAACTTGACTAAAATGAGTAATTCTGAATATAATATGCTTTTTAAGCCTTAAAAGCATCTTTTGTACCGTCTTGATTTCCCTGACTATTTGACCATCCATCGATCCGTCCATCCTTCTTCAAATAGCTTATCTTGGTCAGAATTGCGGAGCAGGATATGGTGTCAGTCCATCCCAAGAAACACACATATCGTCGTGCACTTTGAGAAGTATAATGATGTCAGCTAGCCCAACTGTATGTGTTTGTACTGAAGGTGCCGCATATAACACGGCGAGCACATGCAGACCACCCACAAACAGCACAGGTGGGATTCAGACCCCCAGCCCTGGAGTTCTGAGGTAACAAGAAAACAAAATGCGCAGAATATCACGTTCTTAGTATGCTTACGCATTTGTCTGACATCTGCTTGCATAGTTGATTAGCTGTTCATACAGTACCTTTTTATTAGCTTATAGTGTTTTTAGTTTTTAGAAAAGTTAATTGACAAAATTTCAAGAATAGGGTGGTCTGTTACTTTTGAAATGGTTTCAGGAGGATAAGATATTCAGAAAATATCATTGCCTGTTCTCTCTTTGCCAAGAACGATACAACACAATATGTTTCCTTGATCAGTGTTTTAGATGTTTCAGTCTCTCTGGATGAAGCATTGTCAATAAACGCTTCTGGTTACTTGGGTCTAAAACATTTTACAGGTTTTCCCGTCACTAGGTTAGCAGAAATGTGACAGAAAATGAGGACTATATGGAGGAGCTCTGTGCCATAATTGTTTAAAGGCTTCCCTTGGTCTCTTACCATCTTGGATCAGTCCTTGACTAGGCTTGAGAAGGAAACCTTTTATTACTCTCTTCTGTCCCAGACTCCTACTAATTCAACAACAACTTGTTTACTTGGTCAGACGATTCTTCGCTCTGATCTAATAGGATCCGGCGCGTTGCTGTCAGCGAGATGGTTAGACCAAAATGATTTTCTGTCACCGACTTTTAGTAGGGGGTAGCCTCCATCGCGGAGCCCCCATGACAAGAGGCCATCTTATTAACCTTCTCAGTGCCAGGGGCATTTGATTCGTGTCACCGCAGTGGTGCTGAGGTTAAGGCAGAGTATTGATAAACAGGTATGCTTGGCTGCTTTTGGATATTTGACTCTCGCTGACTCTTCCTCCGCTGCCACCTTCAGTTAGACAGACTGGACAGGGTTTACTGGAAGGAAGCGATTGACATGAAAATCATTTCAGTGTTTTTTAAATTGGAAAAAGGAAAAAAATCTTATTGTTTTATTATAATAATAATAATGAGAATCGGTATTTGGTGGTTAAATTAATAAAATTGCCAGAAACATTTTGTCATTTTTAATCTTTGTAAAATAGACTCTGCCGCCACAGAGTATATTTACTAACAACCTTTCAATGTTACCCTATAACGTTTTATCTGCTTGTTTTTCTGCGTTTCCATTCCAGAACAAGTCTGCAGTTGTGTGTTAGATATTCGTCTCCAGCTCTGCCCCTTTAGGACGGCACTAAAACGGATTAACACCCACCAGTGACCGCTTGTCGGTCATCTCCGCCTCTCAATCCCACCGGTTTGTATGGGCGCCCATAATATGGTCGATTACCGGTGAAGTTTGTCGTTTGACACACTTAGTATTTATTTTTTGCCTTGTGGCGTGTCGTAAAAGGCTCCTCTCCGTTCGGCTGCCTACCCGTCTGATTCGAGTTGTGGCAAACGGCTCTTATAAATGTTTCAGTGAGTGTTAAGTAGACAGTTATGTGCACTCTCATTCCACGCTTATTTGCGTGCTGTAATAAAGTGTGATAAAATACGTGTCTGTGGAGCGACGGGCTCAGAGTCACGCACGCTTCCACTGGAAATTAGGTTGTGTCTGTTGTAATTGTCCGACTATTTATACAAACCCGTCACAACATGTCAAGCGGCTGATACAGTCAGGCTGCTCTGTTTTATTTATTTTCCAAATCTGAGCGAATCAAATAAATGATGCATTGAATTGCTTGTGTTTTATCCACTCCCCGTTTCCATTTGTCACTGGTGCCACGCTGACGTTAAAAGTGTTCACTCAGAAAATAGCCACCGATGTGTCTCTGCGCGTGTAATTTGCTGTAGGTGTGTGGGTGTGTGTGCAATAATCTGTGTGTGTGGGTGTTGCGTGTAATACGCTATCTGTGTATATTTTATGTATAATATGCTGTGTGTGTGCATTATGGGTAATGTACTGTACAGTATGAGTGTGTTATTTATAATACGCTGTATATGTGAGTTATGTGTAATATGCCTTATCTTAGTGGATGTGTATGCGTAATATGGTGTGTGTTGTGTGTAATGCTGTATGTGTTGAGTTTAATATACTGCCTGTGTGAGTGTTATGCGTAATATACCATGAGTATGTTTTGTGTAAATATGCTGTATGCAGGTATGTTCTACAAGAGGTTCATTTACACAAGCTGGGATCGAAATGTACCCTGCGTACTCAACGCCATTGCTTTTATTGCTCCTGCTGCTTATAGTTTCTTTATTTTCTTGTCTTTAAGATTATTCCAATGCTGCGCTGTAAGAAAAACCAGCGCAGACGTTCACCACATGTTGCAGAACCTCGGCATATTTCATGGTGACACGTACATGCGATCAAGCGCGCACATCCATTCTCATTCACTAGCTGCTGTATTGCCCAAATCCGTAAATGCATGGCTCCTGGTCCGGCGGGTGACTGAGTTACTTCGGCCTTTCAGTGGACCCAGGGCTCTCGGCATGTGAAAGGTTTTATCGTTTTCAAGCTAAAAGAAACCCCTCTAATGCAGGATGTTTCGTGGCCAGAAATACATTTTTACAGAATAAGTGAAGTTTCTGTTTATTTGTCTTTCCATTCTTCTTCGGTCCTTTTATATAGACACTATGGTAATTAGTTTAGTGCTGTGGAAAAATGAAAGGCCCTCTTTAGCCCCCGGAGAGCAGGTTATCCATTGTGCGCACTCATGTTTTGAGTGATGGGAGTTGTTGTGCCCCCCGACAGCCCCCCCCACTGCTCTCTCGCCAGCCTACTTGTCCTTTTTAAAGCTAGTTTGTGAAATTGTCCCCCGGCCAGCGAATAGATTTGCTGTTTGAATTGATGTTAATTGAGGAGGCTGGGGCGTGAGGTCCTGTCGCCCGTAATGGAGGGATGTGCTTCTGTATTGTAGGTGTGTCACATTCAGTTTCAGGACAAAATATTAAATATAAAAGGGAAGCTAAGAGAAATTGAAAAATGGACGCTTTTGTAACCGGAAATGCATTTTTTTATACCCCCTCCCCTCCCCCCCCGGAAAGTCTGCCTTGATTTGATTATGTTTCACTCGACAAAGTCGACATGCATACGCATTTGAGCTGCGGTGTTAATGGAAGCTGCGAGGCATGCGCGCCGTGCCCTGACTCTTTGCCCCCCCCCATTCTGTGCCCCAGGTCAGCTCCCCAGTCTTCGTGCCCCACATGTCCCACGAGCTGCTGCACCGCATGAGCGGCAAGGGCCTGGCGGCATGCTACCACTTCCCTAGGCAGCCGTGCATCTACGACCCGCGCATGGTGTCCGTGCAGCTCACCTTCACCAACTGCGGCGAGCAGCCGGTGCAGGACCTGCGCGTGGGGGAGGCCTCCCCGCCGGCACTCAGCCTCCACCGCTTTGCCGCCGTCGGTGAGTAAGGCCGTGATGGAGACCCGTCGCTCCGTCTGCTCCCTCTTTTATTTTGTCCCCCAAAAATCTCCAGACACATACTCTGATGCAGTGTAATTCATTCATGTACGTTCACAGTACCCACTCCTCTTAAAACGAAAAAAGGCTTCTTGATTTATCGATTTATATGTATTGTATATGGGCCAGTGCAGTTCCTGTGTTAGCAAAGCAGTCTATGCTGAGTTCTGGTTTTGGATTTTGATTGTCAAAGGCCCACAGTACAGTCAGCTTCACCATTCTCCTGGTCGTATTTTAGTGCAGAGATGTTGAACACCCAGTGTACACATGCTCATTACAGTGGATTGTGTCAAATTTAATACAACTTTTTTTCTTTAAACTGTGCAACGCTTTGAATCTTTGATCAGGTAGTACTGGTGGTGTCTGTAGGTACCTCATAGCCACGTCTGCCTCTTCACCCAAACCCTCCTCCCTTCCAGAGCGTCTGGAGCCTGACTCCTCCATCACCGTGTCCATGGGCATCGACTTCAATGACTCCACTCAAGCTGCCAGCTTCCAGCTTTGGTAAGAGCCCCAGTTCCCACTCTGGTGGCGAGGGGGCCCCAGTTCCCGCTCTGGTGGCGAGGGGGCCCCTGTTCCCGCTCTGGTGGAGAGGGGGCCCCAGTTCCCGCTCTGGTGGCGAGGGGGCCCCTGTTCCTGCTCTGGTGGCGAGGGGGCCCCTGTTCCCGCTCTGGTGGCGAGGGGGCCCCTGTTCCAGAGGCCCCTGATCTAAGCAGTTTGTCACTCTATCCTTTTCAACATAGTGGAAATAACGTTTTAGCAATAAATGCTTCTCTGGACCCAGTGACAACACTGCCAGTTCTGTTATATTTTATTGATTTCTGGGAAAATCGTTCTTCCTTATTCATTCTCTTTTACTTTGGAAGGTCTGCTGCCCTGGTGAGATTTTAAGAAAAACAATCCTTTCCCTCCATGGGGGCAAGTAATTGTTTATTATTCTCTTATTAGGTGAGCAGCGTTGATCGATATTGTAGAATGCCTAGATATGAATAATATCGCTGTAAATAGATTAGCCTGTTGCATTAAAGTGGGATTATTCTTAATGATCAGAACAATGTGAGCCCAATGACACAGCTCGTGAAATTACAGACTGTTAGGTCTGCAGCAGTGAGAGAGAAATCGTTGCATTATTATTGCTGCTTTTCATCTGGGAACCATCGTTCATTTTTTCAAATGAAACCAGGATGCGTTAATATGTTTTTTTTTTCTCGCTGTCTGAGTTTCCTGTGTAATGTACTGCATAAACTCACCCTTTCTTATGTATGCCGCTGATGTCTTTTTTATTTTTTGTATGTTTTAATTAGTTTGGTTATAATGACATTGAGACGGGATACCTGTTTTCTTTTTGTTTATCTGGCATCTAAGATGCTTGCTTAGTGAATATGCCCATTTTCATCCATCCATCGTCAAACTGCTTTTCCTGTTGTCGGCTGTTGTTTAATACCTCAGAAGAAAAGCACACATATCTCCAAAGGGTTTTCTTGAAGAATAACCATTGTACTTCTCCAAGCCTGTGATGAAACACATTTTTATCTACAGCAAGAAAACCCTTCAGATTAGTCCTTAAGGCAGGAAGCATCGTCCCATGAACCCATCAGACGCGTCGTTTTAAACGTGCAGTTCATCATCTGGCATCACATGCTGTCCTCCATCCCCCGGGGGCTCAAAGATGCGGAGCTGCTCTTAATCTGCTCAGCTTGGCAGATTCTGCAAGGGTGTGGAGGCTGTCGTGAAGTAATACACCTAAAGCTTTACACATTCAGAATGGCCATTATGCTAATTATTCATTCTACAAGTGTCATAGTACTGGGGGGTCTACCAAAAATGAAATATTACCCACATTTAGAGGTGAATTAATATCTGTTGTGTATAATCCAGCACCGAGTATTAGTCCAGTGCGACATATTGGGTTTATTAAAATGCACTTTGGTTATGATGCATTTATGCAGCGAAGGTGTATCCGCATATAGAAGTAATACAATGCAAAACCATTCGTCATTTTCTTTCTTGTTGCTCCTTCCAAACAGGCAACCCCACCCCCCCCAAAGAACTCCATCAAATACAATTGATTCTGTAGTAGTGTAATCACAATTACTCACTTTCTTAATTGCCCTGGTCCAAATCAGAAAATGAGAACCGATCGGCAGCACGGCGATCGATGGTGTTATCAGAAAGCCGCTCCGGGGCAGGAGGGATGGGGGATCAATCAGCACCAAACGCCAATCATCAGAAATGTGCTTTGCATGGCAATCGGGACGTTTGCAGCTCAGTCAGACCAGCCATCATCAGGTGGTCAGAGCCGAGCATGTGCTGGAAGCGCCGCTGATAATTCTGCATTTTATAAAAGTCCCGGGAATCGCACTGCGGGCCAAAATTGTCAGACAGATTAGGCCTAACAGCAGCTCTCATTTTCCTTCCTTGATCGCGTTTGTCACCACACACTGGTGACATTTTATTACCCCCACATTTCAGTGGGACCCTGTGGCTTTCTGCTCCAAAGCAAAACTCATTGCTGCTAGTTTTAAAATGTTCTGCCAGTAGTATGTAGTCAGGTCTTTCATTGTTGTATTGGAAATTTAATATAAACTGTGTTCTTCATCCTAAAAGTTAACATTTATTCCAGAAACATCTAGAATGTTCCATAGAAAGTTCTCTGTTTAATACTCAGACATTCTATGGGTTTATTGTAGCTCCATTCCACCCCCCTCTTTCAATTAATCTTGCCACCCCCCCCCTCCCATAAAGACAACTTCACCTTTAATTTCCATTGCAAGTTCAATGCGTTCACCATGATACCTAGACCAAAATACAAAAAAAGGCGCACATGAAAAAACAAGACTACGACCAAACAGACTGACTGACGGACAGAAACGTTGCGTGAAAAAGACGCCAGACCTTATACACTTCACTGTAGCTCCTTTTATTCCTGTACTAGACATTTAATAATAATCATTGCGCGATAATGACAGGTTTTGCTGTGTATCTTTAATAATGAGGAATCGCTCTCATCCTGTAACATTGACTTTCCTTCCGCTGCTTTGAAATTTGGTTTGTCCCTCGTTTTGGTTCTCTGCTGCCTTTCCTCCCCCCGCCCCCCCGTTCCATGCTGTTCTCTTTAACACTGCCATGCATCGTAAAGCGGGCACAGCGTGATGCCAAATGGCGAAACTTAGAATTGAGGCGCGCAGGCCCTGCGGTGAGCTCTCTCAGTGGGCAGGGGGGGGGTGCCGTCCCAGGTCTTCGGTGATGAGGAAGCCTTCAGATGGAACGTGAGTGGTACGGGGGGGGGGGGGGGGGGGGGGAGGCTGAACAGAATGAGAGCACCCACGCTTTGGCGAGCACGGCTCGGGGTCTGACAGCACGCGGCCACATCCAGACAAGGCAACCCCCCCTCACCCCCCCCCCC